GAGCTCGAAGCCAGCCAAGCATTCCGATTGATTGATTGGCCGCAGGCGAGAGAGCACATGCTCCGGAGCGAAGACTTCCTAACAGCGGGCATGGACTGGCTCGAAGACACATCTGTCAGCTAACATGTAACAGAGCCCCTTGTAAAGCTCCTTTCTCGCAGTAAAAAGCTGGTCCAACCTACTCGGTCTTCCCTGACTTCTGATTTGGGAAACCTTCGTTTTGTCGACACAACTACCTTCACAAAGATACCTGACATACGCTGTCTGGTGATCCGCAACAACTCCAAATAGATAAAGAGAAGGGTCTTCGTGATTAAAAGGACTTCGAGTAAAGAACCGTGGGCTGAAAACTAACATCACCGCTGACTAGTGATGCCTCCTGACGGCAAAACAATGCAAGACTGCGAACAGTTTGGTCCCACAGCTCACCAGGCAGGGTGTAAACTCGTCCACAATGCTATATTACGAAACACTGTTCAGAATGATGTGATCACCGTAATGGACAATAGCGAAATGGGTTGTTACGATATGGCGACTGCCTTGGGACTTCAAATTTCAACCTCAAAGGTTAGATGGAAATAGTTTGCCATGGAATATAAAGTGGGGTTAACTTGTGGGAGTCCGCGCGCCCAGTACCACTACACTGACTCGTCCTGACTTCGTCTGCTATGACTTGCACTCACGTGTGACAACTTATCTCGCATCGGCCTTTCTCACGCTGTCGGTCGGCTTGCCACTTCGTACGCTTGCATGCGCGGTGCCAATCGATACACCCCGCACCACCTAATTGGCTGTGCAAGCGACAGAGCACAAATCACGCAGGCAAAGCTTCCCAACAGCACAGTTTCACGGATACAATTGATGTGAAGACACGGCTGGTAGCCGGCGCGTGGCACAGCCATTTTAAAGCTAATTTTTCTGGCAGTGAAAGCTGTTCCAGCCTATTTTGTCTTCTCTTTTGATTTGGAAAACCTTCGCTTTGTCAACACCACCACTACATTCGACAAATGGATGCAGAAGTACCAGAAATCAGGAAAGGTACCCGAACCAACTCTTGGGGAGAAGTGACAAATCTGTCTGGTTAAAACTACCGCCCTGCAGCTAGCCCGAACACGTTCAAAACCTCCAGTGACATAAACCATCGGTTTTGTGTGACAAAAATTTGCAGATTAACAATCTAAACAAGCAGGTGCATCAAACTATATGAGTTCTACAAGTTGTTCTAGAAGTATGAGGTAAAGCTATCAACAACAACTCATGCTTCAAGTATACGAAGAAGTCTGGCGGGGGAAAAGGTCAAAAGTCCCAAGGCACCACACCAAAAGGTTGCACTATATTTTTTATCATAGCCAAAACATGAAGTAATGTGAAACAGCCCGAGTCCAAACCCTTAGCTTACTGTACGCTGCAGTTCCGGAAAACAGTAGGAAGAAAAA